AATGTTTTTGGTATACGAAATTAGACCATATCTGGGATTAATTCATAGTATACTATTTAATGGCAATTCACGTAGATAAAGTTGCGAAATCAAAGTTCATAATAAAAAACATCATTTAAAATGCTATTGTATGAAAAAAATACAGACTTTTATCGTCATAATGTTAATATGACACTAACAAAAAAGTATGTCAATTAGGACAAAAGAATCATCGAAATCAGTGCAAAAACGGCGAAGGTATTGCGTAGCATACAAACAAAAAAATAATACGGTCAAATTGATTCATTCCTTCTTTTTGAAGACACGCTTGTTTATACGAATACATGCTTCTACCCGCGATTTTGTTCGCGTGATCGGAATATGTTTACCGACCGGGATAAAAAGTGTATACTAATAGGTTAAGTTGTTAAGTCGCTATAAGGTAACAAATAAACTTACTTTCACATTTATAATATTAGTAAATATTACATGAATATAAGGGGCCGCAGAAATTCTCTAGACTCATGTAGGGCACTGATAGCACTGGTGTTAAGCTATGCAGCTAAAGACGGATCATATTTCGTAATGCATTGTGCAATGAGCCAATGAGGGAGCTCGCTTTTTTATTTCTTATTCGAGGCAAAGGATGCAGTTTTGTAATATAGCACCGATTATGTAAAGTGTGAGTGCAATTGAACTAAATAATTTAATTAACATTTCATGCATACGACTAAGTTTAATTTCTTATACGGTTTCGTAAATGATAATTCTATATTATAATAAATTATATATATAAATAAATTTAATATAACAACATTAAGGTCCGAAATGTAAACAAAATTAGCAATCCAACGCACGGAATCGTAATAGCACGGGTAGTGGGCAATTTGTCACGCTCTGAATGTGGGTTACAAATGAAATGTTACGTTCACATCGTCATACGTTTTACTGTTAATTCAATATTCAATCTACTTTTTTTTTTCATTTTTCATTTAAATTTGGTCCTTCCTCACTTGATGAGGAACTATTCTTAATAATATCATAATTGTGAAAGTGTGTTTATTTGTTATTTCTTCGCATTTTAGTGGCTATAATATATATATATATATATATATATATATATATATATATATATATATATATATATATATATATATATATATATAATAATTAAGTATATATGTACTAATTGGGATGGAAAAGGACGTGGGCTACTTTTTATATCGGCCATATGGAAGAAGTCAAGAGATAAACTAATAAAGAATAAAATAAAAAATATCGTAGAAATATAATGATAATAATTATGTAATCGGTAATTTTTATGTCTTGTAAATTATCTCTTTCTCCTGGATTTAGGATGAGGATGCAAAAAATAAAATAAAAAAACGACTGAGGATTATTTACGATAATTTAAATCTTTATATTTATATCAGCCATTGTCTGTGTCACTGCTGAACATAAGCCTCCCTCGTAGACGGTCGACAGCAGGCCACAAGGAAAGGTCCTGAACCACCTGCATCCATTGACTCCTGAATGCATTTGTGACTTCATCTAGTGAGGGGACTTAAGAAGATATATTCCCTGACAGTTGTTGGTTCTTCAAGCTATGAGACTAGCCTATTGCCACTTTTTTTTATACAACTTAGAATGGCAAACAAGCTGACGGCCCACCTGATGGAAAGTGGTAACCGTCGCCTATAGACATGAGCAGTACCATGGACATAACAGAGTATACTGTTTCGCCCATGATACTCCCCATGCGTTGTCATTCCTGAGCACTCGGGTGTTATTCCTCTGTACCCTGTAAATTCACGCCATATCCCACCCTTGAAACCGAAACACAGCCATGCAAACACAACTGCTTTACGGTTGAAATACGAATGGGACAGAGGCACCCAAGCAAACGACTTTTGTACAAAGTCTCCCTCTGATAAACTTTCCACTTCAGCTTGCTTATCCTATAAAATTTCAATAGAAGGATATTTTAATGATGAATGATAAATATAGTAATAAAAAAGTTAGATTCTAAAAATTACGCAATGCACTATGATTCAATAATATGAAAACATAATTTGAATTCATAACCGCCGTTTATTTTGACATTCTCTATGGAATATTACTTAATTACTTATTCAAAGTAGATAGATCTGTTAGACATATTAGAGTTAGTCCTTGTGGTATTTATATAAGTAATATATATATATATATATATATATATATATATATATATATATATATATATATATATACGACAACGACAACATAACCTTCAAGAAAAGAGCATATTCCTTTTTAAAAGGCCGGCAGCACACCTGCAATGCCGTTGGTGTTGTGGGTGACCATGGGTGGCGGTAGTCACTTACCATCAGGTGAGCCGCATGCTCGTTTGCCCCCTGTGTTGTAAAAAAAAAGTTAATATTTATTATGTACCGCGTGGGCCCCGGCATAGAATGGGCCGCCACTACCTTTCCCGTGGGTGTCGTAAGAGACGACTAAGGGAGGGTGAGGGATGGGCAGCAAAACATCCTTAAATGATATCTTCGGATGCCAATCCGCTGCCAAGTATGGCAACTACTGGTAAAATCCCCAAAGAAGCTTATGTTCAGCAGTGGACAGTTAAAGGTTAACTGATATGATGAAGGCATTTAATTTACCAGAGGGAGACTTTGTACAAGAGTCGATTGCTTGGGTACCTCTGTCCCATTCGTGTTTTAACCGTGAAGCAGTTGTGTTTGCACGGCTGTGTTTCGGTTTGAAGGTTGGAATATAGCGTGAATTTACTGGGTACAGAGGAATAACACCTGAGTCCTCAGGAATGGCAACGCATGGGAGGGGGGTATGATGGGCGAAACAGTATACTCTGTTATGTCCATGGTACTGCTCATGTCTATAGGCAACGGTTACCACTTTCCATCAGGTGGACCGTCAGCTTGTTTGCCATTTTAAGTTGTATAAAAAATATATATAAATTACGTGTTTAAAAAGTTATGTTCACGTATTTGGTTCCACAATTATGAATCTATTATAGTTGAAAATAACGATATAAAATTAGAATAAATGCACACTGTAATAAATAAATGTTCACGCTTTTACCGGTGAGTTAGAGAATTGTTAGAAAGTCGATAACTGTTAGTTCAAAACGAATATTTGTTATCGTTTCAAACAGTAATTTATTCATTGTTTGTTTTTTTTTGAAAGTGCATCTATGTGATAATTTCTAATATTACTTAACTGCCACTCCTTTATAGCAGGAAAGTGTTTATGTATTTTTTTTATATTAGGAGCTAATGATTAATAAAGTCAATGCGTTTATTTATAAAAATTAAAACTTTTTTTATACAACTTAGAATGGCAAACAAGCTGACGGCTCACCTGATGGAAAGTGGTAACCGTCGCCTATAGACATGAGCAGTACCTAACAGACATAACAGAGTATACTGTTTCGCCCATGAGAGTATACTGTTTCGCCCATGACACCCCCCTTGCGTTGCCATTCCTGAGGACTCAGGCGTTATTCCTCTGTAACTTTTAACAAAACTATTTTAACTATTAGTTTTGTTACTTTAGTATTTACTTTATAATCATCGTCATCATATCAGCCTTTAACTGTCCACTGCTGAACATAAACCTCCCGTTTAGGAGGTTTTGCCAGTAGTTGCCACGCTTGGCAGTAGAGTTGGAAACTATACTAACTATAGTAGCAGCGTCCCTCTTAAAACATCTCTAAAGCCTAAGCTTTAGAGATGTTTTAAGAGGGACGCTGCTACCCATCTCTCGCCCTCCTTTAGTCGCCTCTTACGACACCAACGGGAAAGAAAGGGGTGGCCTATTCTATACCGGGACCACACGATCATTTTTATAATACTTTTGTATATATATTAATATGATAATTCAATGAGACTATTTTTCGCTATTGTTTGTTGCTTAGATTCATAAATATTAGGTTGCGAGTTCGAATCACGCGCATTATAAATATTTAAGAGTATATGTAAATTCTGTTCGTATTTATATATTTTAAATACACTTTGAGTTTGATAGGTGTTGTAATGTCTAGGTATTTATATATTCTGTGGCGTTTATAACAAAAATAGATATAATTAGATTCAAGAAAAATAAATTTTAACATATTTTTAGAGCAACAATTTATAATATTAGAAACTTTACAAAATAATTTGCGTAATAAAATGTTTTATGTTATAAAAACAGTGCGAAGGCCTATTGTTTTTGTAACGTTACTTATAATTAAATTAAATAAAGTAATTAAAATATTACGGCATTGTTAACCTTGCAATAAAAAAAAAATAATACAGCTGTATAGACTTATTTCCTTTGCATTGTAATTAAACTTTTTAAATCATGACATTAAGTAAATTATTCAAAAATACTGAAGTTTTCTGGCAGTTGAAAGACATTTTAAAAATATTCCTGTATTTAAACCTGATATACCTGTCGTCGTATGGTCACAGCATAAAATAAACTACCCTTTCTTTTCCTGTGGGTGCCATAAAAGGCTATTAAGAGAACTAAAAAGTCCAAAGACGAGCAGCAGTGTCCTTCTTAAAACATCACCAAAAGGTTTACTGCGGTTATCAACCCGTCTGTCAGGCATGACAACTACTGGCCAAATCCTCCTTATTAATGTAAAATTCTGTAAAGATATTTGGATATTTTATGTTTGTTTTTCAATCATGCTTAAATGAATGAACAGATTTAAATAAAATTTGATACACGAAACTACCCGTGTTTAATCCTAATTTAACACATAGGATAGTTTATACGTATGTCGCTGCAAACAGCTAGTATTTAATAGATCCATAAACTGTAATGGCGACCCTGTACGGTCAAATGCAGTGTAAATCGACCCCCCACTAGATAGCTCAAGACCATTCTTTATGGCATTCTATTTAGCAGTAGACAAATAATGGCTGAGATGAGGATTGAAAAGATTTTGTATATTTAGATGTTTATTATTTTATTTTATTTTATTTTATTTTATTATAATTATAATATTCTCATTGCAGACTTCCCCGGCATGTGCTTCGCCTCAACCCGGTGCGCGACCGTCGAGCCTGGCAACACCTGGGACCTGGCGCCCTTCTGTGGCAGGAGCACCTGTGTAGTCAGCGAAGACCAGCCCCCAAGACTTCTGGAGCTGGTCGAAGACTGCGGACCACTGCCGCTTGCCAACCCCAAGTGCAAGCTTGACACTGGTTTGTACAATTATAGTACATCCCTTAGTTTTTTTTCAAATTTAACTTTGAATTTTGGAATTTAAACAAATGAAGAATCGAACCGACTGTAATGTCTTACAGTCTGCCGTTGTCCAAAAGTAGCGTAAATAAAAAAAAATAATTTATATAGATTGAACGTTTCCATTTGTTACTAATTTCATTAAGAGATTTCTGTAATAATATAAAAAAATTATTACATTTCCATTAAGTTCTGTTGAAATAGAGTTGCTTATTTTTCTACGTAGAAACAACGATTTATGTATTTGTTACTCTTTCACGTAAAATTTATTGAATGGATTTGAATGAAATTCAGTACACGAATAGGTTATAAAAACCTAGTTAAGACATATAGCATTTACGATACTTTATAAACTGATTCAAGGGGACGAACCCGCGGTATACAATTAGTTTTGCAAAAGTGAAAGTTTGTAAAAATGTTTGTATGTTTGTTACTCAATCACGTTTAAATAGCTGTATGAATTTGAATGAAAAATGTATACCTTAAGCTTATACCGATCGCGCAGATAGGCTTAACCGTTTCATTATCACCCATAAAAAATATGCTTTCCTCTAAGTATATTTACAATCTATTTTGTTGTTCTAATATCTAAAGGAACATTAAAAGTCATAAACGTCAAAGTCATCAAAAGTGGCAACACATTGAAAGTTTCATGGGCGTCACAGTAACTGCGTGATTTCTATTCTATTGTTCAGAAACAAAGGGATATAGATAAAACGAAGCGAGTACTTCGTGAAAACTGAGTGTGCCCGTACTAAACTAGTTACATGTCGTAACGTGTGTACTATATTTGATAGGGGACTCCTTTAACAAACTAGTATGAAATGTGGTATATACTCGTACGTACTACACGGGATGGAGAAGGATATAGGCTACATTTTACCTCGGAACGAAGTCACGGGTCAAAGCTACTTGTGTTATAATTAGATCGTCCTTTATTAATATAGATGAACAAAATGCGAATCTATGTGTTTAAAGCTAAAGTTAAATTTATCATAACAACTTTTTTATAGAATAGACACAAAGTTCGAACGGTAAAAATGTGACATTTAAAAAAAATTCCATTTACAGAAAAGACCAACAAGACCGCACCATTCCCTGGATGCTGTCCGATCTTCACCTGCGAAGATGGAGTGAAATTGGAGTACCCAGAGCTCCCCACCCCTCCTCCGGAAGGAGAAGAGAAGAAAGAAGAGGAGAAACCTAAAGCTTAAGAAAAAATAGTGTAAATAAAATAGAAATTCACAGATTATTCGAACGCAGAACTACGTTGGCAGTTGTGAGAAAAAAAAATATTGACGCGTTCTTTCCAAATTAAATCTGTGAAATATTTGGTCTCATGAAATTGTTATACCAAAATTTTTATTTTCGTGTACAATACATTTTTGTAACTGTTATTTCTCAGTATCCACTAACAATGGGATTACAATGAACAAATAAATTCAAACGAAGCTTCATATTTCCTGTTCATTCAGCGATATAAAAGATAATACATGACTAATCTTTTGTTTGAAATGATCGCTATGCATTCGATATCCAGATAAAAGTGGAATGCATAGACACAAGTGTTTGTTTTTTTAGAAGTTTACCAGCTTTTTTATTTGAATACATGCCTAATATAATGTGATATTGATACAATTAAATAAATAATTAATATAAAAGTTATTCAATAAAAAAACACAAAATTTCTAAAATTGTTTTTTATTTATACACACCTATGAAGGAGTTATATGAAGAAAAAAGAAACTACAGTTAAAACTCTCCAAAGGGGAAAGCTATATTCAGCAGTGGACAGTAAAAGGTAGTTATGGTAATGATGGTGATGTATGAAGATTTATCATACTTCTTCGTTTCTTAACAACTACACCAAAATAAAATACATACTTGTATTTCTAAAGATCTAAGTTAAAATCTAATATATATTTTATCTAGATACATCGTCTAGAATTGGTTTATTTACATCCGAAATTCTCGTGTACAAAGATGGGAGCAAAAGACAGTTGTGAAATAAAACAACAAATAATTAACTCAATATTTTATTTGGGAATAATAATAAATACATGTTATAGTATGATTGTCAACACTTTATAATACGTGTTTAATATAAACGTACAGCTAAAGTACCTATCAACTAAACATTTAAAATTTACACCAAAACAATGCGTGTGATAACTGACAGTGTCTTGTTTTATGTTAAGTATAAGTATAAGTTTGTATTCTAAAAAAAAATCGACTTCAATTTTGACAAAATTGGTTATTTTTATTTAAAAACTAAACTCTTGATTCGAGTTTGATAAGATTTCTATGGATCCAATCTAAATTCCATATCTGTTTATAAATGACAGAGTTATGAGGCAAGAAACATAAAAATACAACTAAATTGGGAATCTTTTAGAAATCTGTTGAAAAGTAGTATTTAATAAATTTCACTTTTGATTTAGGTGTTAAGAAACAAAGAAAAAATGTCATATATAAAGGCTGTATCAAAAGGAATAAAATTAAGACCAATATGAAAGTAAACCGTTTGGAAAAGAACTATCAAAATCGAATTAGAATTTCTTTTATACAACTTTGAATGGCAAACAAGCTGACGGATCACCTGATGGAAAGTGGTAACCGTCACCTATAAAATTGCCAAAAATATCGAATAAAAGAACTTTCTTAGTACTGATCAATAAGAATATTGCAGTTTTTGTAATATATGTGACATATTTTAGTAATTGAAGTTAAATTTGTTATGTGGGTACGAATCAAAACTTTGACGTTGAAAAGGGACTTGAATCGGTGTGCCTTCTTTAATCTTTTTTTTTTATTGATATAAAATGGAAAAGTATTGTCTCAGCTATTGGTATACACTGGTGAGTTATCAATTAGTGAGAATTGGACTTCTCCAATAATAACTCATCAATCAATTCGGCCAGTTAGCAATTAGAGAACAAACTATATTAGCTTGTTCTTTAATAAACGTTAAATAAATTTTTATTGCCTGACTATTATTTTTTAATTGTACACACACTCACAAGTACAATTTAATAAAAAAAAAAACTTTATTTATGGAGAAGAATTACCAAAAAATCGATTTTAAATCGGCGAAGATTATCGCGGTACATACACACACAAAGATCCAAACTGAGAACTCTTTTGCGAAGTCGATTGGAAACATAAAACATGACTATGTCAGATGCATTTCAGTAAACGATGTTTGAACATTATAATTATTACATAAAACATTTATTTAGCGAAGTATATCCAATTGAACGAATAAATGTTTTCACTATCATAAAATAAATATATATTAGCCAATATATCAACGTAACAGTCTATATACTTGTAACTTTTCTCTTCTATAAATCTAGACATTGAACCTTAGTTTTACATGATATTACATATATTTTTAAAACATTTTTTTTTTCATTCAATTAAACTATACGATAAAATATAATCAACTATATTATTAAAATCACAATTGTCCTAATAATAACATTTAATACAATTATTAGTATTGCACGAAATAGACACTGAATGCGTTCAAGTTACATTATATTAGTTTTTGAGCCAATATATGTTTCAAGCCGTCCAAGTAACAGTCGAATCGGAGAATAGCCCACTCGATGATCATAAAAAATCACTTTAGCCAAATAAGATATAATATACTTAATTAGAATTAAAAGAGGCGAATTTCCGTTAGTAGAAAAACGTCCAATTTCGATGCGATCAAGTACGTGACATATTTATTTTTAATTCGGTTGAAGAAATTAATTTATAAAAGATTAAATCTCTTTTCTACTATGCTATTCCGTGTTTTTTTTTTTTAATATATGAAAATGAAAGTTAATTTCTTTCAAGATAGATAAAATCTTTTGGTACCAATCAAGTTTTTACTACAATTGTATGAATTAAAAACCAAATTGAAGCGAAGTGTAGTCTATTTTTTGTTCCATCAATTATTTCAAATCATTTTGGATCATCAATTTGTAATTATAATGCCATTATCAATTAGGGGTACGAGCAAGGAGACAGTGAACTAGCGAATAGTGATTAAGAAGTAAACACTCCCTTTAGTGGCAATGCTAGTTAAAATGCTATCAGAGGCCTCCATGTATAACGACAGTGGCCTAGAATCTCTTGACACTAGAGGGTACTCTATTCATATATACGCATTATGTGAATACATATAAATGCGCAACAGTAGGCTGACTTTTTACGTAACAGAAATGGGATCAATCAAAAACAAATTGAAATCACATTGAATAGACTTAATATTGACGTTTATTTGACCTGTATTTTGATATGATTTTAATTCGACCCCAATTCAATTGCATTGAAAATAAGCCAATAGTAACGATAAAGACAGTTTTTGTAATCTGAAGATATATCCGAAGATATGTCAAGTGAAATTAGCAGCAAACAAGTATAGTCCTACATACGTGAGTTGTATGCAGACTTGTATATTTTATTCAGTTCATTGATACATATTGCATAATCATTTGAAAGCTTGTCAATTTATTACATTTGCGACAAGGTTAGTAAGGACTTGGACCACTCCTAATTCTATTAGCTGCGACATACTTCCATAAAATCAGGGTCTATGTATGACACTGTGTTAGTAAAAAAAACGATGCGGTCATTTTCCTAATAGTTAAGTAGGTAGAATGTCTAATTTAAGATTAATTTGATCTTAAAGATACATTTTGCTATATATAAGAGGTATATATAAATTTGTTTAAAATCTGCAACATAATTCATTATTACAGTTTGTAGTAAAATCTTGAATAGGTTCAAAAATCTGACGCAGGTATTTCTTTTTAAGTGAAAGAAAATGGATACATTTGTCTAAATTATGTTACATACTGGATATTTTCAAAATTGGACGTTATTTCGAATTTATTTTTTCAAAGTAACCTAATTTTCTAATTATTTTTATACTCAAATTATCATAATTTATTTTTGAGAAAATATCAATTGAAATGACTCGCCTCGTCTCGAAGAATAAATCGATAGCTACCTACGAGCGTTTCGTTTTACAGTATTTTCGAAATTTGTTAAAATAAAAAACCTTTAGGTAATGCTAATTGAATATTTTAGACAGCAATTACAGTAGAAAAATTATTTTTTATTGAATTCCACTTTTGTCAATAGAAAATTTTACAAGAATCCATTAGACAAAATGTACAATACAATACAATTATTTTGGCGACATCTTTACTAATTGAATCATTCATTAATGCAATGATAATGAATAATGATGATTTTTATTTATTTTTTATTTTAATTGAAAAAAAAAAACACAAATTTCTATGACAAAATTGAGAATACATTGAAACCTAGAAATGGGCTGCTTCATTAACAAATTTATAATTTTTTTAATTAAATATATCAAAACAGAAAATAAAGTTTATTATATGCTTATTATCTGTATTATTAAAAATAATCATTATGTTTTAGCGAAAAATATATACTTATATCTCTTTTAGAACAATAACTTACTTCCATGAAAATATATCCTCAGAGGCGTTTATTAAATAAAAAAATGTATTGATATGTTCTAATATTGTACATCACAATGCTTCGGAAATTAATCACAATTATTTTTAATTAAATCGCTGTATATTCGTAAGTAATTAACTATATATTCGTTTGATAGTTTAAAAAGAAAACTAATATTTGTGCTAGTTTAAAACTGGTTTAAAATCTTATAATTAAAGTTTAAAAAAGCAAAAAAGAGAGGTAGTATATTCAAAAGGTAAAATACTTGAAAAATAACCTTTTCACACTCTTCGCGAATTCTGAATGACAGCAATGCATGTTACACTATTAATATGTACATTTATAGAATAATTCCTCTCATTTTTGACCTTTCTTTTATACTTACAATTTTTTTTTTTTTATTTTAAAACTCCCTTAGCAACACCAGGATATGCCTTTATTGATTTTAAAAATGGCACGCGTAAATTATATTGTATGATGTAATGACGGTCCCTAACTATAAGCGTAGCGTACCTACACGTAAAAATAACGATTAAAATGCATAGCAAAAATAATTAAGAAGCACACTTTATAGGTTCACCAACATTCGTAAGGGAGATTCCAAATTAAGAAGCGTACGCTTCAAAAACACGAGAGTAAAAAATATAGTTTTTAGCTATTATTCTTTATTCTTTAATGACTATGAATGATAGATCTAGCCAACACCGCCAGGGCATAAGGCCGCCACACACCGACTACAGTATAAACCGTTAGGTTTGAAGTTGTCCTAAATATGGAGTTGGTTGCATCGATACTTGCTAAAGTGTTGCACAAAACGTATTCCGCGAAAAAATAAGTTTTACAACCGGAACGTCGAACCTGTATTTTTAAGCGGCTCGTTTGGCGCAATATGACATTTTATTACAAAAAAGTGCATAATAATGCAATCCTAAAAGTGTATAAACAAAAATAAATAGTAAATAATAAATAATAATGAATTATTCTATAGAACCATAATTAATTTGACTAGGTACAAAAATTTATAAATAGCGAATTTCCTTGTGTCTTTTACTGAGCAAGGTGTGTTCACTTGAGGTTGTATTCCCTCGACAATAGGTCACACAATTCTTAGAAATTTGTAAAATATAATACTAAATTAAATTATTTAATTTATTAAATTAGATAATTTAAATTATTACATTGCATAATTTAAATTATTAAATAGCATAATTTAAATTATTAACTAGCATAATTTAATTTATTAAATTGTATAATTTAATTTATTAAATTGTATAATTTAATTTATTAAATTACATCATAATCATTTATTAACTTAAACAATTTAATTCATTATATAAATTAACTTGATAATTTCGTGAAAAAAGCTTTCTTGTACTAAAACATACATTGTAAGTATCGATGAAACCAACTGTAAGGCTCAAATTACACACTAACCTAGATCTAAAAATAGCTATTAAGTACCTTATTAACCTTCTACTGAAATACCTTTGTTTTGTTGGCAAATTTCTCTAAAATCGGGTTTAGAAGCTCTGTAGGGTTTTATTAATTCACGATGAATGATTTAGTGATTATTTTCACTGACAATATTTTTTTTTATTGTTCATCAGATGTTACTGCAACTAATTTACATAAACTGTCTAACATCTATGACAACAAACTACGCATATTAAAAGAACAAGGCACTTCGGGCATGTATTAAAAAAAAATTAGTTGTTATGTAAAGTTTTATGTCGCATTATTTTGTGCTATCTAAAAAGAAAACCTTCCATCGAACAATGTCTTAAAGAGATCTTTGTATCTATGCAATTTGTATTACATAGACCACATATTATATGAATAGATGACGAAAGTATCGTTATTTACATGAAGATTACAATATAACACAATACGAAAAATATTTTTTTTTTGTTGAAAGTATATATAGATTTTTGGACAAAGCGAAACGTTAATAACGAAAGCGAAATGTATGAAAACTAGTTTTAACTTAAAAAAACTAGTTTGTTTAAATAATGTAACCACAAACACAAGATTTTCTTATAAAAATAAAATATTATAAATATGAATCAAACAAATAAATTTAGAAATACAGTGTTATAATTTGAGAATAAAATTCTGATGATAGGATTACAAAATATATTTCTAAATTAATTCATATAAAATGTTAAAAAAAGATTTTATAATCTTTTATCATATGTCACATCAGCAACTTGTTACCAAACTAAGTCAAGTTTAAATTACGAAACTAGCGGAAAGATACTAGCTTTAAATCATTCATTGCATGGACAGTTTCACGTGTAAACCATTAATTTCGTTATATATGCAGTATTAAATTAATTAAACTAACTTTGCTTCATTTCATTTTTAAATAAATGTATAGTAAATTGTCTTAAATCAATTAATAAAATTTAAGGAAACTTATATATAATAAGTGTTTTCTTGTTAATTAATACTTATATATATATATACAAGTAAAATATGAATGTAAAACATGAGAAAATACAAACATTTACCCCATTTCGAAAAATAAATTTCCTTCATACGAAAGCGACCTCTTTTTTCTAATGTCAGTTTTTATACTAAAACCTGTTTTTATTTTTAACCGAAGTGCCCAATTATTTTAATATATTATTATAACGTGGTTTTAGGTACACCTATGTATATATATAATAACTACACTTCACTATAAAACTTTTATAAATGTATACAATATTTTGGATTCTGATGATTTTATATACTCGTTCATTAATAACATCAAATTGAACTACATTATTGAATGTAAGCATCGTAAACATGTAACAATAAGCATCTTGATACTATTATATTACTATTTTAAATACATCGTCAACGGAAACTATAAATAACTATCTGATATTAAATGAATCCTTTCATATTAGTACCTAACTCGCTGTAAAAAAACTTCCTCGGATTTTTACATGTTTTTTTTTTTCTCACCTAAAATTGACCAAACACTTACACGTCCCGTTCTTACTTAATTTAGAATGTCTGAACTTTTAATGATTAAGCAAAATATATAGATATATATATATATATATTTTGACACATATCTCAACATACTTATTAATTTGTTCTTTGTTGCTCGATATACGTAACAATTTGGCAGTTAATATTTTATTATTTTTATTTTATCACAAAAATAATAGAATTTACCCGTGAGACATTCAGAAGTATTAGGATGGTTTAAAATAGCTCTATGATATTATATATTTTTTTTTGCATTGTATTTGAGCAGTATTAAAATGATATAATAAATTTGTTATTTTCATTCATTAAAACTAGTTTTTTACATCAAAAAGTAAAAAAGGAAATGTCTACACCCTTTTGTGCGATGCGAACTCGACATTGTTTCGTATATTCTCTACGATTTAACAATTAATTTATATTTCTAACAATTTATTAAAAACCTTAACATCGATTCCAACCATTATATTAAAACGTCAATGTTTAAATTTGGAAAGATATCGTTTGCAAACGCTATCAAAATATTATATAATATATTATATATATAAGAGAAATATAATTGTTTGTGTAATTCAACAATACAAAAAATAAATCCAACAATAGACTATAGAATTTATTTATGTATATGTTGTTTACTTGTCGTTGTTTTAAAAGAAGCTCTTATTTATTGTTTAATAATTTATATTGTGATTTATTTATTGTAAAATTACTGTTTGGCAATTTTACTTTATCAACTTAATCAATTACTTATATAAAAATAGAGAAAAATATGATGAAAATAAATGCATGTTATATATATAACATTTTGATAGCGTTCACTAACGCGTGTGAAGTGCAAGTTTTGGGAAATTCGTCATAAATACGCATTGGCGATAGAAATCTCTGAAGATTACACCATTGATAACTTTTGTGAAGTTTTTTTTTTCATTAGAAAAGGTATTGAAGATTGGCCGTGCTTATCTTTCAAAGTTTTTAGAATAAAAAAAAATTGTTACGGTAAGTAAAAAAAAGAGCCACTTATATTTTAAATAACCTAAAAGGAATATTTTAAATTATAATTAAAGTAATAATTAATTTAAATTAAATGCAACCAGGACGTTGTCAAATGGATATGTCAGGTATTTTTTAAAATTAGTACCTGGGTACATAATTCTATTAAAAATTACAAATACTTAAATATTGAGTCAATATATATATGTATTTTTTAATTTCTGTTAATTAATTATCTAATAATAATAAATATAATTGAACCAATAGAAATATATCTTTATTTATAGTCCTGGTTGCTAAAAAACGTCGAGAAAAAATTAAAAGAAAAAAGTGCAATTCGTCAAAGTCCAGTAAGACAGAGTAGAGATTCTCTTTGGTTTCTGTGCTTCCATTTAATTTTTTTTTTTTTGTTAACCGCTCAGTCTTATGACGTTTTTGTATTAACTTTTTTTTTGTTAAAATTTTCTTTTCTTTTTTATTTTAATAACAATAAGTATTTATTCGGGTTTCAGACGATGCCACTGCACTATGGTTTGTCGAGGCTTTGTTATCATGTCTTGCCAGTGTTTCGTTTCGGTTGCGCCGGAACCATTTTTGCCTGGAAAATAAACAAAAAAAAATTCTTAGACTATAAATATGTAGATTGGTAATAAAAAAGAGTACAACATATATATGTTAGAGTGAGATAGGCATACAAGCAAGTACATATACAGTATAATTTATATAAGCATAAGAATATAGTACTAATTCTTATGGTATTAGTTCCATATTTCTCGGGAATTACAAATAAAACACATGTTAAGTATTTTTCCGTTTTAAAGTTTGTAACAATCAAATCTTTAAAAATAGTGTGGACGATAAACTGCCCGTGTAGCCTATGGACGCCTGTAACTCTAGAGTTGCCGACCCTGAAGAAACCTTACGCCCTCTTTGAAGGACCCCATACTGTAGTCTCTAGGGAAAATCTCGGCAGGGAGCTCATTTCATAGCCTGAGCGTTCAATTAATTTCATTCAATTCCTCACATTTTCTTTCTGATTGAAAATTTAATGTAAAAAAAAAATACATGAAAAATTCAATAGCTAAAATAAGTTTCTCACTAAAAAAAAAAAACTACTTACCGGCCAGCAATATTCTGCCAATCAACTCATTCCGACCAATATTATCGAAGTCCATGACCTGAACGTCTAAGGAACACTCCCTGATTTTCTCCCAGGGCACGTTAAATGAGAACGAATCGTTGAACACTGGGTTCAGTGTGCATTTGAAGATGGCCGTCTTGCGTTTCTCTATACGTTTATCGCCGAATTGCAGCCACACTTTCACGTAAGGATCTGGAAAGGGATATTCAAAAAATGTTAATTTAATCCATGAAATTGTATATATTTTTTTATTTATTTTGTCAAAGTAAGATTTTGCAAAAAATGCATGAGTATTTCATTTTATTTCACTTATTTATGATGTCATATCTTCCTTGTATGTTAGGTTAGTCTGATTAGGACCAAAGTGTATGTGAAATAACAGCAAAAAGACTGAGGAAAGGAATAGAATGGATGGAAATTACTAATTTGTTAAAAAAAAATTTTTGCAACCTACTCTAAAATCTACAATGACGGACTAAACCCTTTAAATTAAATATTTATAAAAAATCGATTATTACGCAGTTATCGGGTAACATACGCACAAAGATATAATCAAGTTGGGAGCCTTCTCGTTTTGAGTTGAACATTATCCAATTTAAAAGAACTTTTCCATTACGCAATTTGCAGATCACGATCCATTGTAAAAGTTGCTTATAAAATTTACGCCCATTATCAAAATATCCGTTTATTATTAAAACACCGGAGAAAACTGGATAACTCAGACAGTTCGGGCACCACTAGAGGAAACGTGAGGGGGCTCATAATTGGACGCCTCATGGCGATGCTATCTTGATTTACGAAGTTCTTGTAAATGGAATTAAGGAGATGAGAGGGTGGAATTTTTGAGGAGTCTCTCGGGCTTCGCTTAGTTTATTAAATCGTATTTTATCAGACTGCTGAAGATGTTTTATCTAGGTAATGTTTTTGGGAACGTATATTTTGAACTATGTTGGTGGTTTATGGTATAAATACGAACGAACCAGTTCTTTTGATTTAAAAACTAAACTACATAACCGGATTTGATAAAATTTCTATGGGATCAATTTCTAAGTATATATCCATTCGGATAAAAAATTTCTTAATCAGTTTACAATTGACGTAGTTATCAGGTAACACACATAAAAAAGCCGAATTGAAAGCCTCCTTATTTTGAAGTCGGTTAAAAAAAATAGTATACCAGACCTAAAGCCTTATTTGTAAACCTATTTTACCTTCTTTTCTATTTTCATCAAAATTATCACGTGATAAACTTTTAATTTTGTACTACATTATACCTAGTACAAAATTAAGAGCTTAATATCGCATATATTATTTTCAGAAACCAAATCAGTTTTATCACCCGCCTGCCAAGTGTGGCAACTACTAGCAAAACCCCAAGGGGGAGGCTGTTGTTAACTGTGGCTAATATGATGATGATGAAGAAATAAGTTTTTTGATTATGTAGTTAAATTAATATATAATCAATATTAAAGTCTTTTTTATTAAATTAAATCTTAAGTTAATCAACAATAACAAATACGATTAATAAGACAAATTATTATTGTTAATGCTATTTAACATTATTATTATTAATGATACTATTATTATATTTTTACGCGACTTCTAAAAGGAGATTTTTTTTATACAACTTAGAATGGCAAACAAGTTGACGGCCCACCTGATGGAAAGTGGTAACCGTCGCCTATAGACATGAGCAGTACCATGGAGATAACAGAGTATAATGTTTCGCCCATGATACCCCCCATGCGTTGCCATTCCTGAGGACTCAGGTGTTAGTCCTCTATACTCTGTAAATTCACGCCCTAAGCTACACGGTAGAAATTTTGTCATGATTAAAATGGACGTTTATTTAAAGGAGTAAATTGTACCTACTTATTATGCATCTAAGATAAAAAGTTTACTAGAACGCGAACGCACAACAATATAGGGAAATGAGACAGCAACAAACTAGATGGAAACGAGTTACCTCAATTTACATGACTTTTTACCCCTCAATTTATATGACTTGGTACTTCTCAATTTACTTGTACAATGGCGTTTCACGAAGCGTCAAATATCAAATGAAGTGACATACCATTAATGGCTAGCTAACTTCATTAATTGTGAAATTTAAGTCTGTGAATTCATTCAATCCGCTATTGAAATTGGTATTTTCGCTTGTTGAAGCTGAATTAAAATGTAAATGACGTAAAATGTAGAGTATTCTAAAGGATTCAGAATATTTTTTTTTTTGATGGGTGAAAATGGAATGGTAATTCCGCCTGCGCTAACGGGATACGCTGGCGGAGCACCAGTGAAGGGTGATCGATGAAAATGAAAGCAGGTCAGTTAACCCATCCTGACGAATTCAATTAGAATTAACCATGATGGTGTCCAGGGGGAACCGCGAGGAGGTCGACCTGACAGGGTATATTGCTAGCAATGGAACTGATAGCTCGCATTACTAACTATCCCTTCCCCCCCGAATTCAGAATAATTATAAAATCAAAATATGCACTATGATTATTTATACCCGCCAACGATCGCGTCCTTTTTTTCTTACTGGAGTAATTATTCAAAGACGAAAGGGTTTTTTTAGTAATGAGCTCTAACTGTCCCCTTGTTAGCAATATACCCTATCAGGTCGACCTCCACACAGTGGTTAATAATTGTTGAATTCGTCACGATGAACTAACTCACCTGGTTTCATCCTCATCTATCATCATTCACTGGTGCCCCGCCAGTATATACCGATAGCACAGGTGGGCACATTATTTCATTTCAACTGTCAAAAAAAACTAGCAATGGGGCTATTAATCCCCAATACTAACAATCCCTTCCCCATAAGAAAGAAGCTTGTTATAATTTACAGTATAACCAAATATATACCTGATTTCCCATTAATGTCCTTGGCTTTCAGGTTCCTCGCTTTCAGCAGGGTGAGAGTGAGAACACTGTTGCTGGGATGGTAGCAGAGTGAAGTCAGCAGCTCCCCACACTTGTCCTTCGCCGGTGGCTTTAGAGCCTTCCAGAAGGATGGCTTTTCGCTTAGATCCACCTGGAATTAATTCAAGCACTCAGTATAGTTTCATACATTTCTGATATATATATATATATATATATATATATATATATATATATATATATATATATATATATATATATATATATATATTTTTTTTTTTTTTTAATGGGTGAAAATAATATGGTAACCCCGCCTGCACTAAAGGAATACGCTGGCGGAGCACCAGTGAAGGGTGATAGATGAGAATGAAAACAGGCCAGTTAGCCCATCATGATGAATTCATTAGGAATTAACCATGATAGTTTCCAGAGAGAACCGCGAGGAGGTCGACCTGGTTGGGTATATTGCTAGCAATGGGATTCTCAGTCTCCATTACTGACAATCCCTTTTCCCCATTTTTGATATATTCAAATTATCTTTTTACAAGTAAACTTGTTACAAGCATTTTTAAATCGTCTTTTTTTATGAATCTACTGCCGGGTTCTGAGAGTTGTTATCTGCTGAGAAGAATCCGTAAGAAACTAAACAGTTACTCTTTTAATATCTGTTAACATTATGTGTATTTATTTTAACGTACTATGTCTAAAATTACATGGTCATTGAAAAGCCTATTATGATCGACTAACACCGTATACCTACATTTTTTATTAAATTAATCATTTAGTATATAATAGGCTTTGTTCAGTGTTTCTTGAATAACAATTTAAAATTTATTAAAAGGTAGATCCAAAATATCCTTCAGTATCTTATTATAACATTTAATGCCCATTCCTATAAAAGACCTATTAACTTTTTCTAAACAATATTTCGGAAAAACAAGCCTGTATTTGTATCTTGTATTTTTTTTTCTTGGGTGAAAATGGTATGGTAACCCCGCCTGCGCTATCGGGATACGCTGGCGGAGCACCAGTTCAGTCTCCGTTACTAACAATCCCTTTCCCCCCTGTATCCTGTATTAGGATTATTAAGATTACTGTTTACACAGCTTAACAAATAACATTCCAAGCACAACAGTAGATTAATAAAAAATTATGATTTAAAAGTGCTTGTAAACAAATTTATTTGGATAAAGGTGATTCGAATTTAAATTATTAGTGAGTAAAAAAAAAAAAATAAACAAACTCACTTCAATATTTGTACTATTAGAGATTAAAATCATCACTATAGCCGTAGTAATAACAGTAATTTACGTTCATATTCGATAATGTCAATAAAACCCATGCTTTTATGGGTTTAATGTCATTAGTTTGATGAAATAATTCAACGAACACATTTGTAGTTATTTTTTCTTTTATTACTTTGTATAATTATGTATATGGAGGGCTAAGTTCATGTTACAATGTAATATTCCGGGAAAGGCTTTAATGATATTGTGTTAAAAAGTTTTGAAGTGGAAATAGTAGCTACTTATATAGAGACAAGGATTCTATATTTATATCAAAGTTTTTAATGGGTAGGCAGAGATAATCAAGTATCAACAGTATTGCAATATATTATTGGTGTAAATTATATACATATCAGTTGTTTTTAAAATTGTTTTTAATGCAATAAATATCTGTTGTAAAACAAAATTAATGAATTCTTCTCTTGTAAAATTAAAATATGAGATTAAATAGGAATGTCTTCTAATATAACCAAAATGATGCAAACAAAGTCGTGAGTACTAGATAGTGTCAAATAAAATTTCACCTATAAAGTGAAGAAGTCAGAGCAATTTATTTAGAAACTTTATCCATTATGCCGTGAGTTATTTAGAAACAGATAGACGCAATATAGTGAGAAATAATGGAGTGAACCTTGTAGGGCTTACTGTAAGCAGTAAAACGCACGTTTTGTAAGATGATGGTAGAAATAAATAACGGTAAACGTAATATAAATTACGTTTAAACAGACGTTTACCTAAACTAAGACTTGTGAAGCGCCTACACAAAATAGCCGAGCAAAAGTTTTACGCTCCGAGTAATTTTGCTGCTTAGAATTTAAGGCGCTAATTCCATTTAAATCCTATAATTATTCTTTCTTAGTAAAATTTTCTTTTATGCCTGATTAAATACTTTAGAAGCTTTTATATTTTATATGGGTTTACTTTGCTTATAGTAAATTCAAGAATTTTAATTATTTTGGACTATGAAATGAATAGATAGGTGGGCATATGTTTAGTAAGGTCATGCCCCAATTTAGTTGTTTATTTAAGTATAATAACTTTATATTTATTTATTAATTCATTAGTACATATATGTATATTTGGCAGATTTAATGTTATAACCATTCTCTCCCAGTCAACCATAGAAAAGTATCAGATTATTCGAATGCGGTACTAGTAATTATTGATATACATACATACTACAATTTAAATATATACACGAATAGACATATATAAATAAACAGATATATTTACACATATATAAGATATACTATATTATCTACGAAAATAAGAATACATAGTACTTTCCGTAAATATAAAGCTGAAAAATTAAATATAATATTTATTACTTTAGTAGACACAGGACAAAGTTCGAGGGAGGGAACTCGAGCTGATTTCCGCCTGACTTGATATGACCTTTAGATGGATTCTTTCTATAGAAACTCAAAGTGAACAGAAAATTATATGATTAAACAGTAGAATAAAAGTAAAAATAGTACGCATACTTCTAATCTTGTTACAGAATGGCAATTATTATTTATTAAAAAAAAGGAAGGAGCCTTTAAATATAATACAATTAATTTAATATTATCATAATAAGTATATAAATATATATTACGTTTTATTTACAAGTTCGTCGATGTGACCGACATATATTGATTGGTTGGGATAAATACACAATAGCCTATTTCCCTCAGGTCCTTCTTCACTCCAAATAGTACGTATATAAAATATTTCATGACGATTGGTTAAAATATAAAGGCGCCAAGGGTTAACAAATATTCATCACCATCATTTCAGCCGTTAACTGTCCGCTGCTGGACAAAAACCTTTCCCATAAGGGGAGTTTTGTCATTAGTCGCCACGCTTGGCAGGCGGGTTGGTAACCGCAGTTAGACATTTGGGGATGTTTTCAGAGGGACGCTGCTGCCCATCCTTCGACCTTAAGTTCCCTTAGTCGCCTCTTACGACACCCACAAGAAAGGAAGAGGTAGTCCATTCTATGCCAGGACCGTCACGGCGAATATTGTATGAGTATATAGTAAGAATGAAATACGAATTTTAAAAATTAAATTATGAGGACCTTACCTGGCACAAAGGTAGAAAAACTTCACCGATGGAGTCGTCCCTTGAGAACCGATCGTAATCGAACACATGAAGATGAAGTACCTGGACAAAGAAATAAAAGAAACCATTGATTTGTACATCATTTCTATACCTTTTTTTATTCAACATCGAATAGCAAATTAATGGCTAACGTAATGGACAATGATAGGGGGGAAAGGGATTGTTAGCTATGGAGTTTGACAGCCCCGTTGCTAGCAAAATGCCCTATTAGGTCGACCTCCACGTGGTTTCCCCTGGAAACCACCGTGAACTATTCTTGTTGGATTCGTCACGATGGGCTAACTGACCTGCTTCATTCTCACCTATCATCCTTCACTGGTGTCCCGCCGGTGTATACCGATAGCGCGGGTGGTGATACCATTCCATTATCACCCATTAAAAAAATAGACAATGGGTGTCATAGAATATATTGTAAAGCTCATGGTACCTTTCATGCATTGCCATTCCCGAAGAGTCAAGTGTAATGCTCGAGACTTTGTAATTTCACTGCCATATCCCACCTTGAAGGGTGGGAACACCGAAACACATGCGTCATGGCAGACACATGAGTGGTACAAAAGTACCCACGCAAATATCTTTTGTACAAAGTCACCCACTCGTAATGACCTCAAGACATTTAAAAGGTCGTATAACATCTCATTTATAATTCGAATAGGAATGTTTTGTTGTGGTGCGCAGAATAAATTATTCATTATCCTGAAGACATCCAACAGAGAACACTAACTAGGGCTTTGTGTCAAATAATAAAGTTATTAAAGTCAAATGTAAAATGTAAAGAATTACAAACCTCTACAATACTTTTATACATATAATATAATATTTATTGGATAATGCAGTTTTAATACAATTCAGAATGGAAAACTGTCTGACACTGTTTTTTTTTTATACAACTTAGAATGGCAATCAAGCTGACGGCCCACCTGATGGAAAGTGGTAACCGTCGCCTATAGACATGAGTAGTACCATGGACATAACAGAGTAAACTGTTTCGCCCATGATACCCCCCATGTGTTGCCATTCCTGAGGACTCAGGTGTTATTCTTCTGTACCCAGTAAATTCACGCCATATCTCACCCTTCAAAACAAAACACAGCCATGCAAACACAACTGCTTTACGGTAGAAAAACGAATTGGACAGAGGTACCCAAGCAATCGACTTTTTTACCAAGTAAAAAATCGTAATTTCTATTTATAGTGTCAAACAGTGCCGTGTAATTTATAAAACATACAGGTTCTTATTACGTATTGACATTTCTGTGGACTATCATCATCATCATCATCTCAGCCATCATCTGTTCACTGCTAGACATAGCCCTCCTCCATAGATTGCCATAAGGAACAGTCCTGAGTCATCTGTATCCATCGACTCCCTGTAATGCATTTGAGGTCGTCACTCCATCTAATGGGGTGGTTATCCTACACTACTTTTGACCGTACGTGGTCGCTACTTAAGAACGTTTCTTCTATATCGGCTGTGCATGGGTTTTTCGAGATATGGGACTAGCATAGTGTCTTATTATTACGAGAAATATCTAGTGAAAAACTTTTAAATAGAATAATACTGTAAATAATGATTTCAGAGATATTTTCTCTCACAAACACTCAGGTTATGAAATGAGCTCCCTGCCGAGGTTTTCCAAAGAGCCTACAGCATGAGGTTCTTCAAAAGTGGATAAAGAGATTTCTTCAGGGTTGGTAACGCGCGAGTAATACCTCTGGTATTGCAGGCGTTCATAGACTACGGTAACCGCTTACCATCAGGTGGGTCATATGCTTGTTTGCCACCTCAGTGGTATAAAAAATAGCATTAAGGCTCTATTACTAGATTAAAATAACGAGTTTAAATTCGATTAATTATTCTTTGAGTCCAACATTAAAACAGTTCTTGTACAGAATAAAAGAAGACTCAAAAAAATATGAAATGTTTCCTTGAAAAATTATACTTTTGGTTTCTTGGATGGTAACGGATAGTTTAATCAGGGCGAATTCGTTTGTTTACACTTTCATTAAGCTCTATTGAAATAGACTATACTGATTTTGATACAATATACTTTTCCTCCATACCGTAAGTGGCGGATACCATCAACAAATTAATTTCCAAGGAGGGTTTATAAATTTTCTGATAATAGAATGATAACCCTGTCTGCGTTATAGATATATGCTGACGGGGCACCAGTGAGAGATGACAAATGATAAAAGCAGGTCAGTCAGTCCATTCTGATGAATTCAAGAATTAACTACGATGGTTTCTAGGGGGAACTGTGGTGGTTAACCTAATAAGGTATATTGCTAGCAAGGGGCAGTTAGACTCTATAACTAACAATCCCTTTTTTCCCTCCCAAGGAAGATTGACATCAGACAGGTGGCTGGTCGTAAAACCATAATTACGTTGACTCCAAATAATTGGATTAAAGGCAGAGTCGATGGTGATAATTACCCGGCTCTGAAGCTTCTGTATTGGGAAGCCCTCGAAGTAGAAGGTCTCGTTCCACCGAGGGTTCAGCGTGCGCCTCTTGATCTTGGTCTCGAGCCGATGCTTCTTATCGGGTAGCAAGGTTACCCGCACGTAAGGGTCCGATGTACCGCTAAGATCTTTGGCGGGCAATTCCTTCCCCTAAAACACGACAAGAGCTTAGTATATCTTACAAATATATTAAAACAGTAATTAGGCGATGTCTATACATGGGAAATATTTAAGAAAAGTTCATGTGAGGATTTTTAATAAGACCAATAGGAACCATAACAAAATTTTTTGGAAATTTTGTCATTCTTTTTTTTTAGAATAACGTAAAGACTACTAAACCAAATTAGATGCGGTTTTTACTGTTATTTTCCTAAAAGTCTAATTTAAAATCTGGAGTATGTTTTATTTTGATATAACATCAAGAAGTCGACTATTTTATTGATGTTCCTATTTTTAAAATTCACGTACAAAGTAGCAGGCAAATAGCTTGTGTTAACTATTATATCAAATCAGTATTATTAATTTTAGATACCATTTCATATATTATGTATTAACTTTTGCCCGTGACTTTGTATGTGTAGATTTTGGAACTAGGTAAAACATACTGCGGAGTTTATGTTGGACCTTTAGGAATTCAACTGTAAAGAATACGTGCACTGTGATGCAGTAGTTTTGCATGTTGCTGGAAGAAACGTAGATAAAAATAAAAAATAGATTAGCTTCTATTACTCTTATTAAGACCCTCATACCTTTTCATTTTAAATATATTCTATGTACAGATGTCCTGTTACAATTTTACTATGTGAGTAAGGATAAGGATTAGAAAGGATAAAGATAAGGATTAGAAAGGATAAAGATAAGGATTAGTAGGAAAGAAGGAGGGAGACTTTGTACAAAAGTCGATTGCTTGGGTACCTCTATCGCATTCGTGTTTCTACCGTGAAGCAGTTGTGTTTGTATGGCTGTGTTACGGTTTGAAGGGTGGGACATGGCGTAAATTTACAAGGTACAGAGGAATAACATCTGAGTCCTCAGGAATGGCAACGCATGGGGGGTATCATGGGCGAAACAGTATACTCTGTTATGTCCATGGTACTGCTCATGTCTATAGGCGACGGTTACCACTTTCCATCAGGTGGGCCGTCAGCTTGTTTGCCATTCTAAGTTGTATAAAAAAAAAGAAATATTTTAATTCAAGTGAACTTAGATTAAGGCATTTTTGAATAGTCATTGTTCGGAATGTAATTTCAGTTAAGAAGAACGAGCAATAAATTCAGGTGTTATTTTTTTAGTTTATTGTTTTAAAAAAAATAGGGATAAAGAGTGTGTATTTGCTGCGTTTGCGATTCCTTTTGCGTGGTAGTCGAAACTATTATGGCAGATGTTAACAGTATTAAAAAATATAATTAGTGTGTCTAAGTAGCTTACCAAATTATATTATTCAATAAATGTATTTGTATAGGTTATATAAAATCACTGAATATTGATTCAAACATTTAGAAAACATCCATTGATTCGTGACAATGTAATATAAGTTGCATGTTTGTTTTATATTTAACATTAATAAGATTTAAAATAATATTTATCTATCGTTGTTAGTAAGTATAAATAACTATGATACTGTGGTATAAGTTAATAATATTTATTTTTTATTAGTTTAATAATAAAAGGACAATATATGTAAATGCAATGTTATTTTACTTCTTATCTAAATTTATGGAAGAAAGAAAGAAATATTTATTTAAATTATTATTATATATATATAAATTATTATATATATAATAATAATTTAATATATTTTAATATATTTAATATATTAAATTATATTATATAATTAATATTATATTATATTTATTGAATTATTTATTTAAAATTAAGCACAATTTTACACTAGTAATTAATATTTATTATTATTATTATTATGGGCATCTAAAAATGTGTACAATAGGATTTTAAAATGCGTATCACAATAAAGGCCTGAATTAAAATATATTTTGCAAATATAACATGTTTTATAATAAATACACAATAAATAAGTGTTTTGGTTATAAATATGCATTTTTAATGTCTATTTTTAAAGTATAAATAGATTTTTTTTTTCATTTTTTATTTTCAATCCATGTATTATTATAATGTTCTGTTTGGTGAGTGTATTAATAAATCTGTAAGCTCACCAAAAATATGTACATATTATAAATAAATAAATAAATATTTAATAAATATCAGGATACATTATACAACAACATCTAGCCCCAAATTAAATAGAACTGGTACAGTACTAGACAACTAGTAAACATATTTATATTTTTTAATATAACTTAGAATGGCAAACAAGCTGACGGCCCACCTGATGTAAAGTGGTAATCATTGCTAAAAGACATGAACACTACCAGGCACATAATAAAGTACACTGTCTCACCCACGATATACCTTATTGCTATTCCTGAGGACTAAGTTATGCCTCTTTACTTTGTAATTTCACTACTATATCCCCTTCAAACTGAAACACAGCTATGCAAACATAACAGTTTTACAACAGAAACACGAATGGGATAGAGGTGCCCAAGCAAACGACTTTTGTACAAATATTTTGAATTTTGGGTACTATAGTTTTTTTTTAATAAATACATATAGGTAAAGCTAAATATTATATAAAATAGTATTAAATAAAATATAAAAGTGAAATTTATAATATTTGCTCATTGGGCATATAATTTTAATTTAAAACATTGAAACTTTATTTACGATTGAAGTAAAATAATGACTTTGAGACAATGTTAAAAAGTAATCTTTTTTATATTAATTTTGTTTGTTAAATTACTCACATATATTTAGTGCTGCTGGCAACTTAGTTAGTTGACCTTTTTATATTATTATTAAATATTCATAATAATAAATTTCATATTTTTTTTTTAAGATATAGCTTTTGGTCACCCATTGTTTTCACAGTGTGAACATTTCTTGTAATTGTTTGTATTTATAATAAGTTTACTATTGGACTCTTTTGGAGGTTACATTAAATAGTATTTATCTATATTAATAATACAAAATTTTATTAGTTGTGTTTTTTTTTTTATAATATTTTTAAAGGCAGTTTTTCTTTTTTCTTCAAATACTATTCTGACTAAATGTCAAAGTTTGATATATTAGTATGCAGTATTACTTTAATAGAATTCTCACGACAGTTATTTCCATATATCGCCATGAAATATGAAATGAAATGAAACATGAAACATCAAATTTTATACACCTACTATATAAGAATAAAAGAATTGATATATTTTATTGTTTAAAGTTTCCAAGTGCACATTATAGGTAGGTAGGTAGGTACCTATTATAAAATGTTTAGCATATTATTTTCTTTAGTTTCTTGCCTAATTTAAAACAAAATTACGTGTATTATATGCACTATATGCAAAATTATACCCCGACTTAAGCGAAGTACGTTAAGTTAAGGGATATTTACTGTATCAGTTTTACTTATACGTTATGTATTGTATGTTTACCAACCTGAATAATCCTCAAGATGAGGGTGGTATTCTGAAAGTCGTACTCCAAACTGAAGTGGATCTGGCCGACATTCTCCGTCGGCTCAGAGTTGTCGATGTACATGTCCACCAGGGATATGGAACGATTCTGCAGGAACGCCATCTGTTAGCCCAAAGCGGAAGCACTTTAACTTCGTGACGCTATGGACTATTGGTTGCTACTACATCTGAACTTAGAGGTTCTATTTAAAACTCACGGTATAGGTTGTTAGGCTAATGTTTAATGACCTTTGACCTTGACCTTTTGGAGGAATACCTACGCTTTGTAATACAAAGCACAATTATTTTAAGACTAAAGCATTAGATATTCCGGCAATGATGGTCGTGGGCACTCGAGCCGTATCTCAAAAAACTAAAAACTTTTAAATTTTCAATTATAGCAGCAAATTTTAAAGATGTCATTTAATAATATTTTGGAATCGAGATTCTTCTTATGTAAATTTTCACTTTGTATAGACATTAATAATACAAAATGTGATGCTATTGAAGTCGATGATTATCATGTTTGGGAATTGAAAACAAGACAGATGCTTATAAGTTATTGAGATATTATCTTTCGAACTTTCTAGAACCTCTAAGTTAATATACGTAATCATAATAAGTAATTAAATATTTACAAAACTCCAAAGCAGATGTCACAGTGAAATTATAAATTTGTGACACAAAATTTTACTTTTTATAAAAAGCGTTATTTTCAGATATTACTGTTCTACAACTTCAAAATGCAACATCTGTTTTGATAGTATATTAAATAGTATATTTTTGGCGTTGAATATTTTAAAGTTTACCGTTGAAAATTTTAACTGCATAAATTTTACTGTATTTAATACATTAATGTTTTAAACTACTTATCTTTTTAAATAGACCAACATGTCATTAGATCGGGATTATAAATTTTCTCTTGGATGAAAAACTGTATTTTAAAAGTAAAAATATTGAATAAATTATTATGAAAATGAGTAGAAATCCTATTAATCCATTAATGTTGCTTTGTTGGGTACTGATGGGCCCATAAAAGTAGAATATAGTCCATTATTACCTCACTAGCCAGGCGGTTGTTTTCAGATTCTTTTTTTCGTACTGGTGTATTGTATTGTTTCCTTCTTTGTCTTTTACTACATTCTAGAGATGAAATTTCACCATCATAACGAATGATATATTATAATAATAGAAAATTTAGTAATATTTTACTTACAATATGTTTTTTTATAGCTCTGCGGTGATTACTTAATCAGGTGAGCCGTATCCATGTTTGCCACATGGATACCGCGCGCCTTGCCTACCCTAAAGGAACTTCTTTATACCTTTTTGAAAAACCTCATGCTGTACTTTCTAGGAAAAACTATATATACTAGGAGAAACTATATAAATTAGCACACATTTCAAGTGAGTGGGCTGCCTATAAAACTGAATATTTTTCTCAAAGAAACATGGGTAAGGAGAAAAAAATTGTGGGTGAGATTTTTGCCCTAACATGGCTCCTTTAGCAATCAAACGAACCTAACTTAGTTCGTTGGATTGTCGTCCAATTGCACTATCCTTATATTTAAATATCGTCTAGCATTTTGTATTAAAACAGGAATAATAAAGAGCACTTTAAAATATTCAAAGCCAGATAGTCTAGTGGTTGTTTGGTGACATTTCTATGTGGAGTGGTATTTTAGTGGATTTCTGTATAAATAGTTCGAGATGGTTTATTGATTTTGTTCGAATCTCTCTTCTATTTAAAATACAGTAGGTAATGTCATTTTTGAAAAAATATTGAATGTATTGTAATAGTTCTATTTGAACATTTATTTTGTTTGATATTTAAAACACCTTAATAAATTATATATATGATATTTTAGTTAAATTAGTATTAGTCATGTATAATTAAGTAAATGTAAGCAAATTCTGAAACAATCTCGAAATATTTTATAATGCAGCAAAATTATACACTGCTTTAAATAGTTAAAAGTTAACTTTGCGGCGATTTATATTGCAAATCTTATTAAAACTTTAAAAGTAACCTTATTGTTTGTAACGTAAGAAAAGGGTTTACGCGACCTCCAGAAATTGGGTCACATAAATCATTAACGTTCATAAAACAATTGTTTATTTTCCTAGCATGCATTTCAATAATTTATAATAATTAAAAATTTATATTAGCTTTTAAGAAAAAATATTAAGAAATTTTTAATGCACTTATATTAATTTTATATTGAATAAAATATTTCTTAAACAAGTTGTATGTACTTATTAAAACTTGTTCTTCAATTGCTTTTTATTATTATTTTTTTTGTGAATTTCATTATAGTTACATTATAACGTTACAATAGATAGTTAAATATTAAAAATATTAAGGACCATGTAATTCCCTGTCTTATTTTTTCACAATGATAAGTTCCAGACAATCTCAGCGATTGCTTTGTACTCTTTGTACTCAAATTTCTTAGTATTCATCGTAATAAAAGAATCCAGACTGTAATTCTGGATTAAATTGAATGAAAAATATAACGAATGGACAGTATATTCTTACAAACAGAAAATAAAATATTTTACAAAAGTACAACTAAATTCGAATTATTTTGCTTTTCGTTGGCTGGTAATTCTTTTTATTAGATTTCTTTTTGATAAATTTTTTTCCTATGGTCCTATTCTCTATGATAAATATATGTCTTGTTGAAACAAAAATATTAAAATTAGGTTTACAGATTTTTTTTAATATAATTTATTAAAATATTAAAAAATTCATTGTAATTTTATCACATCGTAAATTAGGTTTTGTGACATTAGGTAATGCATGCAGAAACTTAACAATAATAACTATTATTTCCTATTTTTATTATAAAGCTACTATTATTACTTTAAAACTAGAAACTACAACTACTTCTTAGATAATTCCATTTGTTGATTTTTTTTACAAATAAAATAAATAAAATCATTTACATTTTATATAAAATTACTCTTGTATTCATAAAACGTCATACAAACCTATTTTTACTATTACACTGTTTTGTGACTGTTACTTTTAATTTGAGAAATTAGTGTAAAAGAAAAAGATAAAAGACTTTAAAAGTTTAAAAGAGATTTACGGAATGCTGGACGTTATTATGAACAAGAGGGTAGTGTACGGTAATCATTTAGATACCGTTATAAAATGTTAATTAAAAATCACACAAATGGAATATTGTAATGACTAGAATAATAGCTCTAATAATATTTAAAACAAAAAATCAAGAAAAAGAAAAATACAAATAAAAGTGCGAAACAAGATAAAGACAAAAGTAAACGCTTCTCTTTCGCACTTTTTATATGTTGTATAAGTTAAATAAAATTCTAAAAATTAAAATATTTTTTTTTTTTATTATTTTCGAGTGCATTAGTTTTCTATTAACGACTACCTATGGTTTGCAATTTCTAAATCTAAAACTATTCTGACTATCGTGGTATATTCGTGTCTTATTATAGTGAAAATATTTTTATTTATCAGAAAATCTAGTGAAAGGTGAAAAAAACAAAAATCACTCCAGGTTTAGTGTGGCGATAAAGTATTGTATTTTTCTAAAAAGCCGTCATTGTTGTCGATAAGTGCCTCTATGTATGTACAAAAACAATATATATCATTTGCAAAAATTTCAACTATACTGTGAAGCGGTTTTATTGTAAGAATAAAGCATTTAATTATTATTAAAAAAAATATATATAGTGTACAGAGTTAAAAAGCAAAATTTGTAAATAATTTGTTAAGCGTATGCTTTTTTGTTCTATTGTTTGTATTGTCCTCTATTTTTTCTTATACAACCTCTTCTACCTACCATGTTTGAAGGAGAAAGCATGGAAAGAGAATCCATAGTTTAGAAAAATTCACCAAAAATAATATAGGAGAAAACAAAAAAAAAACACATTAAGAACAAGAACAGCTCGTATTGTCTAATAATTCAACACATCATATCGAATTTTAACACAGACTCGTAGTGTGTTCACGTCACAAGGTACAAATTGATTGTAGATATTTCTCTCAATATCGTGTATTTTCAATTTCGCTAGATAACACAAAGAACTGGAAACATAACACGAGTATTATTTGTTCATCGTGATTTATCAATTCCATACTAGAAATGATGTAGTAAATATGTAATATATAATAATAATTTGATAGTTATCGCCTTATTCAGGTTTTGTGATTATTTAATTAATTTTGAAAACTTAAGAGATTCAATCTGTATTGCTATTGGAAAGGGATTGCAAGTAATGGGGTCTAACAGCCCCCTTGCTAGCAATATACCCTTATCAGGCTAATTTCCATGCTGTTCTTCCTCGTGAAATCATCGTGGTTAGATTTTGTGGAATTCGTCACTTTGGGATCACTGATCTATTTTCATTTTCACCTATCACTCATCACTGGTACCCCGCCAGTATATATTGATAATGTAGGCAAAGTAACCACTCTATATTACCCGTTAATAAATTCAGTATATTATAAGTGCATGTGTACTAAATTTTTTTTATTCCAGCCGTTATTTGCCCACTGCTGAACATAAGCCTACCCCATTAGGGGAGTTTGTCAGAAGTTACCACGCTTGGCAGGCGGGTTGGCAACCGCAAATTTAGAGATTTTTTATACCACTGAGGTGGCAAACAAGCAGGTCCACCTGATGGTAAGCGGTTACCGTAGCCTATGAACACCTGCAATACTAGAGATATTATACGCGCGTTGCTGACCCTGAAGAAACCCTTTACCCCCCTTTTGAAGAACCCCATACTGTAGTCTCTTGGGAAAACCTCGGCAGGGAGCTCATTCCATAACTTGACTGTTCGTGACATTTGTTCGTGTGTTAGAGATGTTTTAAGACAGACGCCGTTGTCCATCTTTCAATCGTTAAGTTCCTTTAGTCTCTTACGACATCCATAGGGAAGGAACGGGTGGCCTATTCTATGCCAAGACCACACGGACAAAAATAAAACATGATAGGTACTTAAAATTTTTATAAAAAAATCGATAAAATATTGTAAAGTCACATTTATTAAAGAGTTTTATCACAGTATAAAATATAGCACCTTCCTTTTTGAAATTGCATCTAAAAAAAAGTAAAGGGTATAAAATGGCAATAAACTAAAAATAACTCACATCTGCTTATATTTCTAACCGTTTAGAGAAGAAATAATATTTCTAAAGTATACGGCGTAAGGTTCTTTTGTCATGCTACGATTGATCCAGACCCAAGAGATTCGAATGATAAATAATTCAGAGACTCAAGTCAATAAAAGGTTAAATGGGTAGAAATTTGGGGTTTCTTACTGAACGTAGCCTTGGGAATTTTTGTAAGATATTTTTGAAACATCGTACCGAATATGAAAGGGTTGGTAATACAGCAATATGTGGAGATATCTAAAATAATAAGAATTCTCAAGAGGGATTTTCTGAAGTTTCCAGAAGAGCAGGTGATAAGTTCATATTGTATTTGTTGGGATACCGTACCATCCGTTTATCTGTGTTATAAGAAAGCTATTAACGCTAGAATTAATATGTTTTGCCAGAGGGAGGCTTTGTAGAAAAGTCTGCTTGGGTACCTACGCCACGTTTCTGTTCATGTTTCGGTCGTAAAGCAGGGGAGTATATATGGTTGTTTCGATTTAAAGTATGCGATATAGTTGTGGAATCAAAGGGCACTGATGAATAAAAGATTAATCCTTAGGAATGTCATTACATGGGGGAATTGAGGGCGTCACAGTATATTATATAGACTATATCGCTGTTTATATCTATAGGCGATGTTTACCAACTTTCCATCAGGTTAATCCTCAGCTAATTTGCCATTCTAAATTGAGTAAAAAATAGAACTTAACTAAACTGAACTAAGGATTACTTATTAGTATTATTTTTTAAAATCCCTAAATATGAGTTTATAATATTGTAAGCAAATAAATTTAGTAACTTCCTTAGAGACAGTATAAAATGTCTATATGTTGACATGCATATATATATTAGAAATCAGCTTATTTGTAGTAAACAACATGCACTTATTTAAAAAGAAATCTGAAGTTCGACTTAGAAATGTACCCATGAGACAATATGATCATTTATATTTGCCGCAAGCTAACTCAATGATATACAATAAAAGTAGTTATATAATGGCTATCAAAATATATAATCATTTGCCAAATAACCTAAAAGAAGTGCCTAATACAAAATTCAAATTATTATTAAAAAAAATGGCTACTTGCAAATGCTTTCTATAATATGAATGAATTCTTTGCTCTTTGACATTTTTCTTTTTTTTTACATTGACATTATAAATAATTTAATTAATATATAGGATGATAATTAATATGTTCTAATGGTGACCATGAGTTAGTTTGTGACTGTGGATTGACATGTTTTATTTTATTGACAATTTTATTGACAATTTTAATGTATGACTCTAAAATAATTAATGTTTTGTAATTAATCGTATTGTATGCCCGATGTATGGGTAGGCTGTTTTCCTTTGAGACGTTAATAACATCTTACGAAAAATTGTAACATACAGCTCACAATAAATTTATTCTATTCTATTCTATTCTATTCTATTCTATTCTATTCTACAATATACAAAAAATCCAGGGGAAAAACAAATTTTGTCAAAAAACTTCGACAATTTTTTTTTATAAACCTGTTTACATGGTATATAACCAATAGTTTTATTTTTAACGTTTGATGCGATAAACTCCATGTCTCGTCTCCTTCCGCCCAATTCGATATTAACTTTTTAAAACATTTTTCTAACAAAACTGAATAACTCCAAAACTTAAATATATTAGAACAACTTCTTACAAAAAATATCTCAGTTATTTAAGGTCGACTAGTTTGAATAAAATTATTTAACCATAAATAATCCGTTTGGTCCCGGTATAGAATAAACCTTCCGTTCTTTTTCTGTGGATGTCGTATGAGGCGACTAAAGGAAATTAATGATAGAGAGATAGGCAACAACAGCCCTCTTAAAACCTCCAAAGTCTAACTATGGTAGCTAATCCTTAAATAATATGGCGTGAAGTTACTGGGTACAGAGGAATAACATCTGAGTCCTCAGGAATGGCAACGCATGGGGGGTATCATGGATATAACAGTATACTCTGTTATGTCCATGGTACTGCTCATGTCTATAGGCAACAGTTACCACTTTCCATCAGGTGGGCCGTCAGCTTTGCCATTCTAAGTTGTATAAAAAAAAAATCCGCCTGTCAAGTATGTCAACTATTGGCAAAACCCTCGAAGGTGGAGGTTTATGTTCAGTAATGGTTCTTTTAATGGGTGATAATGGAATGGTAACCCCACCCGCGCTAACGGTATACACCGGCGGGGTACCAGTGAAGGATGATAGATGAGGATGAAGCAGTTCAGTTAGCCCATCGTGACGAATTCAACAAGAACTGTTCACGATGGTTTCCAGGGGGAACCACGCGGAGAGCGACCTAATAGGGCAAATTGCTAACAATGGGGCTGTCAAACTCCATTGCTAACAATCCCTTTCCCCCGTTCAGTAGTGATTAGTTAAAGGCTGAGATGAGAATGATGATGATCCTAGAACGAGGGGCAGGCGATTGGTATGATTGGATGACACTTACTATTGTTGCTTTGTATCCTAATCCACGTGGGAGACTTTGTACAAATGTCGTTTGCTTGGGCATCTCTGTTCCATTCGTGTTTCTACCGTGAAGCAGTTGTGTTTGCATGGCTGTGTTTCGGTTTGAAGGGTGGGATATAGCAATAAATATACAGCGTACAAAGGAATAACACCTGAGTCCTCAGGAATGGCAACGCATGTGGGGTATCATGGGCGAAACAGTATACTCTGTTATGTCTATGGTACTGTTCATGTCTGTAGGCGACGGTTACCACTTTCCATCAGGTGGACCGTCAGCTTGCGTTCAATTCTAAGTTACATAAAAAAAAGTGGACAAAGTCGAGGGCTGCAGCTAGCAAAGGATACATCAAAAGAACTGTAACACGAGGACAAGTGCCGTTCTACCCGTATCAACTTCAAACGTATACGCCTTGAATGGGTAAGGACCGGCATCCACTGACATCTCTGTCAATTTGCGTCTGTGTAAAAATGGAGCAATATTTCCAATATGTTCGATGAGAGGTAAAAAGTCGATCGGTTCTTACATATCGGAAATAAAGCAAGTTAATCCCGCTACTATTATATTATATTATACATGGGAAAGTTTAGAAGGAAAAGAAGAAAGAATCATTAAAATCGGTTAACAATTGGCGACGTAATGGCGTAACATATATATATAAAACAATATACCAATTGAGAATTTTCTCCCTTTTGAAAGTCATTCAAAATAATGATAAAGCTTTTTTATGCAACTTAGAATGGCAAAAAAGTTAACATCCCACCTGATGAAAATGGTAACCGTCACCTATAGCCATTAACAGTACCATGAACATAATATTTACCAACTACATAAGCATTAAATACATTAGGTCAGGTACGAGTTGAACTTGCATGCTGAGGATCCGTACATAAATATTTAAATTTGAGGTAAAATATATTATATGCATTAATTAATTACGAAACATATATCTAATATTATTATATATATTATATATATATATAATATTGTTGACGCTACAATTCGTAATTTCTTATAATTGCAGTTAAAAATTGGACCTAATTTGTATTTTTTTTAGAAGTTTCTTATTTTCTCATAAATGGTGCTAGTTAAAAAAAATCTGTAATACCCACATTAGTCTGTTTATTAATCTATATATTTCAGATTTTTGCTTCACAGATATAGCGCTGTGAGACGAACAAAGTAGCACTATAAGGGCTTCTTTATACCTTTTTGGTACGGAACCCTAAAACCTACAAGTCAGATTGAGGTAAAATAATGGTACTTCATTGAAACCCATAATCAAATTGTATTAGACATTAATCTACTTTATAGCTCGTCTACATTTTATCTCAAATTGATTAAAATAAATTATTCATACAACG